GCCCCGCCCCGCCCGGGCGGCGCCCCTCGCGCATCTCTGCCCCCTTCGTGGCGCGCCCGGATCACACACCTGCAAATTCCACGGGCCACAAACAGCCCGCCCCCAGCAGAACGCAGGAAATCTCACGTTTGCAGCAAGGTTTTTAAAGTTAAACACTATGATGACCGAGGTCAGTGTCCGTGGTTAGTGTAAATTGGGGGCTCGATTTTACCAGCTGACAAGTTAGCAAAGACTTTCCTGTTGGTTTAACCAGGGGCTCCGGAGACAGCAAAGCGAGAAGTGCTGAATTTATAAGGATTGATGATCGGGGGATTTTAGGGGAGTTTTAGTTTTACTTCCGTTTATAGATTAGTACCATTGGGGATTTTTTTTTTCATTCTCTATACACACGATTTTATTTTTCCTTTAATCTTTTAGGAGTTTGAGACTCTTGCTGACTAGGTTTGTGGGTGTCCCATGTGCCTCAGCAGTTCAAACTTAGCTCAGAAAGCATTTTTTCTTACTAAAAAAGCATGTTCTTACTAAAATGAGTCATAATTTTATTAAATGGTGAAGCGTGCTGGGTTTCAAGACTATCTGGTGTTTGAAACTTGCTTAAAATTTGTTACATAGTTGAAATCTTTTTCTGAACGTGTGTGTAAGGCTTTAACAGTCCTTCATGAGAAAAACAGCAAAACTATTGAGATATTTCAGTTCCAAATTCCAGAAGGCAAGTCATTTGCACGTGAATATATGTGTAAAGCAAATCTTTATTTCTATATTCTATAATGAAGTTTCTTTCTTCACATAAAAATAAAATTTAAAAAACATCAATGACAAACATAGGAACTACCCCTAAAGGAGCTTCATTCTGCCTTGAGATTATGAATCCCACTGGCATAACTTCTGCTTGCTGAACCTCTTAGACAAAACGTGAATCTCTGAACCCTTGCTAAAGAAAGTTAATTGTTGTTTCCCAAAATTCTTAGGAGGTGGAACTACTTTATGATTCTGAAGCTCTATAAATGAAAAGTTACTAAATTCAACTTTTCTTTATCTCCTTTGTATATCATTTGCATATGGGTTGTTTTACAAATTCATAATATTGTTGCTTCTCAACATTTTGCTCTATAGTTTCACATTTTTTCTTCATATATATGACAATAATATGTGTGGGGACAGATGGATTTCAATAAAGAATATATATTCAATGGTTTTACATAGCTAATTTGTCTTATATTGCTTCTAATAAGTTTGGAAGCATTAAATCAAATGGAGTTACCAAAATTCTTGAATAGATGAAAATATATCTTGAAAGACATGGCAGAATGCTTATTGTAACTATATTTGTACAATCTTTCCTTCTCGTAATTATCGCAAGTGCATTTTTAGATGATAATTTTATAGATTTCACCATTCTCTGTTTTAAAGATCTGCTACATCAGTTATTTTAGTTGAGGCTGAGATGGGGCTAAATTTACATACAGCCTTTTATTTGTGCTGCACTAGATAGGGGTCAGAAAACTTTTTTTATAAAAGGCTAGCCTAATAAATGTCTCACACTTCGTGGGTTGAGTTCCATAGTCTGCTCTTTCTTTTCTTGTCTGTTTTTCTTTCCTTCTTCACTGCCCTTTACAAATATAAAAACCGCTTTTAACCAGAAGGCTATACTCAGCGTGCTGGCCATAGTTGGCAGACCCTAGAACAGTGTTCCTCAGCCTGTAGTGAGTCTAGAATCACTGGGTTTACCCATGAGAATGCCCAGTCCCAGGCAGTCCCTGCAGTGATTCAGTGAGTCTGAGATGGGGCCCAAGGATCTGCTGGTGCTACTCAAATGGTCACCAAAGAAGTCTCCAGGTGTTGATAATCTTAGCTATTTTGATATTCTTTTGCCTTTGGCAGTTTTCTTCCACCATCTTCTTCTTCCTCCCTCTTTTTCACCTCTCCAGAGGATTCAGGCTCTCCGTAACTCAAATCTTTTAACAGCTTGGAGAAGTTGGTGCCACTGACCAGAGGGCTGGGCCTGTCTTTTCCCTCTTTGTTTACTACTAAACTTCGACCTCCTATCTGACACTCAAGGGAAAAGGAATTACCTGATTACTTGTTGGTCATCATTATGATTCTCCCCTCAAAAATGCAAGCACTTGAAGCATTTTATTTTACTCTCAACATCAGGGAAGGGCTGAAGGGAGAAAGATGTAAAATATGTAAATTTCAGCTTCTTTGATGTGACTGCAGAGAAATGTGGTAGATCTTTAATAATAACTTATCAGGGCCAGGGATTTAGCCCAATGGTTCTGCTGCCTGCCTCACAAGCACAAGTATCTGAGTTCGATCCCTGGTACAAAAAACAAAAACAAAAAAATAGCTGTGATCAGCATCTTAAAGATGAATGGATATTATGAGCTGTGGTGACAGCTGAGCACTCAGCAGTTCCACGTCTTTACAGCCCATCCTGCCTACAGTATCTCCTTAACCCAATTTGGCTCAGGCCATTACAGGGGGAATAATTATAGTAGACCCCAAATGGTTAAAGTATAGACAATTTTTGATCATTTCAGTTAATGAAGAACAGCTGTAGCATGTATAATTGACATCCGTAGGTTTGAGATAAAGCTCCTGTTGGTGCTCAGTAAACTTTTTATTAATAACAGTGGGGTGAGTCCTTTCCTTCATGCAATGCATTTAATAGAGCCTCCGTAAGACATGGTGACCAAATACATTTTCATCTTTCCATGATTCCTGGATTTGGCACTTCTTGTTTGTTTCTACTCTCCGCACTCTCATCACCTTATACATTCTTACGACAACTACCCCACATCTTTTCATTGCCATTTAAACTGAATCTTAAATAAAAGGTCTGAGTCTTTCCATGAAAGGGGGCGCACACTCCAGAGAAGGGGAAAATGGGAGCAGCAGCACACAGTCAGGAACCACAAGGCATGTTCACAACACAGGGAACATAGAGCTGTCCAAATTGCCTAGAACAAGGAGAATTTTGAAGGCCAGGGGTGTGTGTGTGTGTGTGTGTGTGTGTGTGTGTGTGTGTGTGTGTGTGTTGACTAGCATCTGCTGTATTAGCAGAGTTGTGCCTCTGGATGGTTAATCTAACGATATTGTCAGATAGATTGCAGTGAGAAAAACCTGACAGGGGAAGACCACTTAATTGTTCTGGATCAGGGCAGTAGCCCTCAGAGAGAAGAAAAGGAGGCAGATCAGACCATTGCATAGATGAAGCACCTTCAAAACTGAGCAACTGACTGGATGGTATTGGAGGCACCATTAATAGAAATAGGGAAGTCAAGAGGGGAAGAGAAGTGTGCAGTAGGAGATTCAAAAAGGAACATATTTTAGATTCGAGTGTGTTAAGTTTGTGGTTGCTTATGGAAGAGGTCTGAGTTGAGTTGTTCAGCGGGGGGTAGAGTGTAGGAGCCTGCTGGAGACAGTGAACCAGGGCTGGAATGTGCTGGGACTGTCTGCTGAGCCAGTTGTTAGGCGTGGCCATTAAAAAAGACCATTATGTAAATTCACAAATAAATTTATATTTTAAAAGATAATAAATATTCAAAACTTACCACTTCACATTTTACCACATTTCCCTATTATCTATTTTGTGGGGTTTTTTGTTGTATTTCTGTGGTAGAAATGCTATACAATGTATGCTGTTGTGCAACTCTTTCCAATTTTACATGTAATAGATTAATATTAGTGACCTGAAATTGGAGTATTTACACCATACAAAGAAGCAAATTATACAAATTCAGAGATGTTTTCCCTGGAAAACTGGCTGTCAAACATTTACTAGCACTCAATAAATGCTATATTTAGGAGTTTATTTGCAGGAAAGGAATAATTGTATCCTATCATAAATTTACTAATATGCATTTAGATATAGAGATGACTAAAGGGAAGTCACAGAGGATACTTGAGAGGTGAAAAGACGGGGTTGAGACTGAGAGGTAGAGGATAGATAGAGAGACCTGCTGGGGGCTACAGAAAAATGTCTAGATACACACTGTATAAATGATTTTGAAATTTCTTCATTTAATAGAATTCCATAGTTTATCACATGATTTTGTCATTCACTTTAATATTCATTGGGCTATGGCTTTCAGACATTTTGAATAATAAACACACACCTATGTCCCATCTCAAAACACATATGAAAACACACACACACACGAGTTTCAAAAAACAATGCTTTCATGTTACCTCCATTTATTTATTTATTTTTAAGACACTTTTGCTATTGTAGTTCAAGCTGTGTACTCACTATGTAGTCTATGCTGGCTTCAAACTCACGGTGATCCTCCTGCCTCTGCCTCCTGAGTGCTGGGACGACACACAGTCACTGTGCAATCTGATGCATTCTATCCAATCCTATCCATTCTTGTTCAAAGTCCTAGACTAGTTTTATGCCCACACAGCAGGCAGTGAACCAGTGTTTGACCAACTGCTTTGATGAAAACATACCTCCTTCTTTAGAAAATGTCTTATGGAATCCCCTTTCCAAGTGACAGTGCCCTTTTCAAGGGTGGCCTGTGTGTGTGTGTGTGTGTGTGTGTGTGTGTGTGTGTGTGCGCGCGCGTGCTGGGATCGAACTCTGGCCCTTGCACTTTCTAGGCAGGCAGCAGAATGACTGAGCCAAATCCTCTTTTTAAGGGTTTGAGGGGAAATTCTCAAAACCAGTTTACATAATTAATTTCTCTTCCATTTCTCCTCACAACTGATTTTAGTCAATGTCTCTTTCTGTGTACTCCTCTCACTTGTGATAAAATGTAAAATAGCAGCTTCCAAAGTCAGTCAACAAAATTCAAGCTTTTATTTGTAGAAATGCAAAGAGAAAGAACAACAAAAAAGATGAATAACATTTAGGAGCTAATTAGAATGACAAGATGACAAGATGTCTACATCAGGTTCTTGGAATGGATGGGCGGAACGGGATTTCCCTGAGTCTCTACTAAAAACCTCCAGACTATGGAAAATGCAGTAAAGATCTTTAAGGGTCTTTTAGTCTTTAACACTCAGTTCCCCCAAAATACGTAGGTTCCCATTTTACCTTTGGGTACCTAACAGTGTTTCTTTATTGCCTCCTTATCTTGGTAAAGAAATGGAGAGTGTTCATTCACTGTCAGTCTCCTTATTAGCACGGGCCTATGGAAAGGCAAAAAGGGGACCCTTTGCTGCATAACTTCTGCTCACATCAGGCCTCTTTTCCACCCTATTGTCACTACCTTCTTCTAGGTTATCATTATCTCACCCTGAACTACCATAATAGCCCCCTAATTAATTTTCCACCCTGTGGCTTCTTTCTCCCCCGTCCATACTACATCCCACTGCTCCGTGAATCTCATTAGAGCCACTTTTGGCTGTTTAGTCATCTGTGTAAAGACCCATAACTGGCTCCCTAATGTTGTCAAGATAAGATCTGAACTCCTTAACTTGGCATCCTTGTCTTGAGCGTGGTCTGGCCTCTGAGCCTACACAACCTTACCCCCGGGGTGATAGTATTTAATAACTGGGATGGCTCATGTACTAAGCAATCAGAAAGGGCTGGGCTGTAGACATCCTTCAGAGCTCAACTGGGGACACTGGCTGAATGCCATTTTGCCTCACAACCAAACTACCTTCCATCTTGAATTCCTACCACACTCTCTTCATTCTGTTTCCTCCTCAAAATAGCACCCAGGCCTTTGCTTGCACCATCGTCCAGCCTGCAATACCTTCCTTCCCCCTCTCTGCTTACTTAAGTGGCATTCATCCCTCAAGCCTAAAGCTTTCCCAGACTTCCCTAATCCACAAACATCTCTCCCACCAGGCACTGTGTTAACATCTACTTTTTTTTTTTTTTTTTTTTTTTTTTGTAGTACCAGGGATCAAACTTAGGACCTTGCCCTTGCAAGTCAAGTGGTGCAACAACTGAGCTAAATCCACAGCTCTTAACATACTTTTCTTATTCCTTCTTGAACAAGCAGTCAAATTTCCTAATCTATCTAATGTTTTTAAACAAATGTGCATTATCTCTCCTGGAGTCTTGATTGTAAACTAGTTGGAAAGAAACCTATCTATTCCTTTAGCTCCTGGAACTGTCTGGAGCCCAAGCAAGTACATAAATGTGCTGATGACAATAGAGGAGGAACTAGTTTAAGCTGTTGTTATTGGTTTGTTTGAAGCACATTTAATGCCTTACATTTGAACTTCGGAATTCACATCGTGTTTTGTCATATATTACTTCATTTAATCCTCATAGCAGTTCCTGTCGTCTGCCTTTGTCCCTGTTCCTGCCTCCCTCTCCCAGGGTTATGTTCCCCATTTGCAGATGGGTGGCTGAGGTTGACAGAGGTGAATTGATTTTGCCAGGTCACACAGAGAACAAATAGCAGAGATGCAATCCAAACCCAGGTTTTTTACTCTAAATCCTGAATTCTTTCCACTACTCTGTGGTAGCCTCCAGCTTATTTTAATTTCTATGCATGTATGTTCTTGTAATTCTGCTCAAATTGTGGGTCCTGCCGATGGATTTAATTCTCTCCTCAGGTGAAGGTTGATAAGCTTACAAATTGTAGCAACATCATAATTTTGATCTTAGTAGTAAGGATTTATTTCCACGATTTGTATAGATTGCTACCCTTTAGGCAATGTTATTTCGGAAGGCTTTTTTTTAAGCTTGTTGCTTCATATATTATTTTTCTGAAGCTTATTTCTTTCTATCCTATCACTACATATTCATTTCCACTTATTTACTTCAACGTATCTTTATATATTACTGTTTACCTCAAGTGAATTCCTTTACCTCAGGGAGCCATCCATTTTGAAACCAGTCATAAAGTGGCTGAGTGCTTAATTCCAGCAACTGTGAAGAGATTTCTTTGTGAAAACCATTTGATAAGAACTGGCCTCTTTCTCATCACTGTCCTAATTCTTATTTTTCTTAAAATGTCTAAACTTAAAGTCTAAGAAAATTAAGTGCTTAGCTTAAGCAGAATAAGGTGAAGGGGGAATAACTTTAAGGTGGTTAGCATTTTTCTTTGGCAGTTCATATCAAATGGACTGTGGAATTTTTGGGGTTTAGCACCGAAGTTTCAACCCAGAGCTGTAGGTGTTATGCAAGCACTGTACCACTGAGCTACATCTCCAGGCCTTTCAATTTTTAGAAATGTTTTAAAATTAAAATTAAAAATTTTTGAGACAGGATCTCTCTAAGTTTCCCAGGCTCTCCTTGAACTTGTGATCCTCCTGCCTCAGCCACTCAAGTAGCTGAGATTACAAACATGCACCACCATACCTAGCTGAACTATATAACCTTATTTAAATGTGAATAATGTAAGGATAAAGTATACCTGTATTCTTATGTTTAAAATTATTGCAAGAAATATAAAAATGTGAACCTGTAGAAGCCATACTGCAAAGTTATGGCATCTGTAGAGAATGAATTATTCTGGTTTACTTTTCAACAAAAGTAATTATATTAAGAAAGTTAGTTTATAAAATTATCAGTTTTCACTGGGGATTTTGCTCAGTGGTTCCACCACATGCCTCCCAAATGCAAGGACTGGAGTTCAATCTCTGGTACCAAAAAAAATATTATAATAATAATTTAAAAAATTAGTTTTTCGCATTAACTAAATTCTTAATTTGGTTTAAATATTTGTGTTAAACAGTGTTTCACTTTTTTTTTTTTTTGTACTGGGGATCGAACTCGGATCCTTGCACTTGCAAAGCAGGCGATGGAACCACTGAGGTAAATCCCCAGCCCTTTGTTTCACTTTTTGTAAAAAAATTATATGTGTTTTACGCAG